GAGGGGCCCCTGGGGTGGGGCTCAGCTTTCTGGGGGGGCTTTACCCAGAGCAGACCTCTAAGGAAAGATGCTTCAAAAGGGGGGTGGGGTTCAGGTGCTCAGAGCTCCCAGGGGTGTGGCTCAGCCAGTGACAGCCTGAAAGGATTTCTGCTAACACCTGGGGACCTAGGGTGGGGGTACGGAGCTGGTCCAGGGACTGTTCAGAGAAGGCAGAGCCAGGGCTCTCAGATGCTGCTGCCTGCACCAGTCCAGACATGATGAGAGAAGCTGCAGCGCTCTCTCTACTGCTGTTTTCTAAGTACTTTGTTATGGAGTGGATGACTTCCTCCTCCAAGGTCTTGTGTTGAAACCATAATTGCTGTAATGGTGTCTGGGGATGGAGACTTCAGTGCCAATAAAATGGTTAAATGTGGAGACCCCCACAGTGAGATTAGGGCCCTTGTATGCGTCCAGGCTTCCTTTTCTTCCAGCCATGTGAGGGTACAGCAAGAAAGGGCTCTCTGGGCTTAATAATAGAATGCTTGCACACACACACACACACACACACACACAGAGAGAGAGAGAGAGACATACACGGAGTTTGTGAACGGTACATGTCAGTAATCCCAGCACATATGAGGTGAAGGCAGGAAGATAAGCAGTTTGAGGCCAGCTTCGGCTGCATGAGACCCTGTCTAATAAAAACAAGTAATAAAAGAAAGAAAAACTCATCACCTAAGAACCAGAGAAGGGTCTGAGTGGGTACAGAATCTGCAAGCAATGGGATCTTGACTGCCTAGGCTCTGGACCATTAAGTAAATAATGTCTTGGGGTGGAGGGAAAAAAAAGGCTTAGCAGTGAAAAGCACTTGCTGCTCTTCCAGAGAACCCTGGTTCAGTTCCCTGAACCCACATTCGACTGCTCGAAACTGCCTGTAATCTAGTTCTAGGGCATCTGACTCCGCCATGGGCAATGGTACTGATGTGCACACACATAGACAGACAGACCCACATACACATACACATAACTAAAAAGAATAAGTAAAATAAAAGTTATACTCAAAAAATGCATTAAAAAGAGGAAGACACAAATGTCTTGAATGAAGGGGATTTTTCAGTGGTAGAGTGTGTGCTTAGTAGATATAAAGCCATGGATTTGATCCACAACACACACACACAGAGGAGGGGAGAGGGAGGAAGAAGAGGAGGGAAGAGGAAGAGGGAGGAGGAGAGGAGAGAAGAAATAGAACGTTGTCTCTATGAACAGCAACCTGAGCAAACTAAGGCACAAAGAAACAGGCACGCTTAGTAGAGCTTCTGAAATAGAACATTCACTCGGTTACTGACTAACAGATGGATAAATGTGTGCTCACCTTGAGAATAATTATAAGACAATAACTATGCATAACATTATTGCAAGTTATATTTATTCAGAACTTTATATATGTCAAGCATTCTGCTATAATATGGATATGCACTGACTCTACATTTTTTTTCTTGTTTTATCTTTCAGCTTTTTAGACATCATCTCTGTCTCCTGTAGCACGGGCTGGGCTTGAACTTGCTATGTAGCCAAGGACGGCTTCGAACTCCTTCCTGATCCTCCTGGTGTTGGAATTACAAGAATGCTCCACCATGCCTGGATAATAATTTATATATTCCGGAGTCAGGGTGTCACTGCATGAGTCAGACTGGCTACCAACTCACGGCCTTCCTGCTTCTGCCTACGGGGATTATAAGTAATTAGTTTTGCCATCACAATATATTACAACTTCTTGGAAAGAATTTCCTAACAAATTTTGAAAAAAGACTAACTTAGTGAATAGGATTTTTTTGTTTTGTTTTGTTTTTCAAGACACGGTTTCCTGTGTAGCTTTGGAGCCTGTCCTGGCACTCGCTCTGGAGACCAGGCTGGCCTTGAACTCACAGAGATCCGCCTGCCTCTT